CTTCCGGATGGCATTTATCGATCTAAAATYGTTTTAAAATGTAAATAATCGATTATGTCGATACTATGGAATAACTTATCAGATTTAAGCACAGCACCTTATATGGGTTCRTTTTTTATGTACTTTTAATGATAGTCACATTAAATTTTATTGGATTCAGCTCTGCCTGTCCATGATGTCATCAACTCGTGCTAGCAGACAAAAAAAAAACAAAAAAAAAACATGGAGGATGGTAGAAAAGAAGCGTTTGACGAGAGAGAAATTATCAAGCCACCGTTGCGGTCCAGTGCGTGGAAACACTTTAGCTTTTGCAAAAAAAGGAGACATTCTAAATAAGTCGCTCGCTGTTTGTAGTTTATGCAAATGTGAAATAAAATACAACACTACAAATCTCTCCAACCACCTACTAAGGCGCCATGAGATTTCACGCAACGCCGACCGTCCAGGCACTTCTTTCGGTGTCCCCACCGCAGCAGCAACGCAAGGTAACGTCAGCCTAAGCTCTGCAGAAGCTTCAGGCATTGCCAGCATGTTTAGTCAGAGACTGGGCCAAAATTCAGCTCGGGCAATTTATTTTGGTTGCAATTTATGCATACAAAATGTGAATACTTTTGCTATTAATTGTTGTCTGATTATTTTTCTGTATCTATTATCATCAATTTATGCTTGATTCCCTTACAAGAAACAACAGGAATCTGTGAAACTTAATTTGCATTGCCCAGTATCAAGGTATTTGTTTCACGGTCACACTGGTTGAGTTTTTTGCTAAAAAAAAGTTACTGAATCGATTTGGATTGGATCGGTTTAAATGAACCAAGATCGTCCTTGAATCATATCGCAGTCGTGAATCATGAAACGAATCGACTCGTTGTTAAAACGAATCGTTACACCCCTAATTAGTAGTAATAATAGCAGCAGTAGTAGTAATAATAGTAGCAGTAGTAGTAGTAGTAGTAGTAGTAGTAGTAGTAATAGTCACAGTGATGGTGTTACCAGTGGCATTCCGCCCTCTGAAGACTCTGTTTACACTATTTTTGACCCCTGACCAAAATTTGTCGTTGACCCCTGTTCTAGAGTCCAATGTGAGTCTACCTGTCCAACGAATGAGGTTTGGACCGAACTAGGTCCAATAGGACCATGATCCCAAACTATCAGCTGATCTACAACAGAACGGGTCAAAAACAAAGAATTATGGTTCTGTAATGGTCCAGTCGGAGTCTAGACCAGCGAATTAGAGAARCACTCTATTCTCTGTGCTAAGGAGACTAAGAATTTGTTAAGTTCTCTGTGGCAACGTGGAGGGGTTTTGTTACTGCCAGACTGTCAACTGATCTTTAATATCAGGGTAAAATGTTTCAACTCAGTCAAGGATTAATTATGATTATCAGAACCAGAACTTTAAAGAATGTGACGTTATGTTTTATAGATATGTACTATGCCAAATTAGCTCATTGATCATTAAAACATGAACTTTTCAGTTTTCCCTGTCAGAAAATCATTCCTAATAAAAACAAATGTTAGTGCTGAAGTGATAAGTGACTCATCTTTTTATCCTTTAGGTAAATTTATACCTTGGAGAAAAATGAGTGGTTATGGAGAAGTATGAGTTTATTAATTTTCAGCACTTTATTTATTTATTTATTTATTTATTTGTTTGTTTGTTTATTGTCCTGAATTAGAATTTTATTATACTGCAGTTTAAAACTTGTAACCACATTTTCCAGTTTTGAGTTCAGTAAGTTTTGTGGATGGAAGCTAAATGTCTTGAAGTGCAGAACAGAAGTCCAGGTGTTTTGGGGATTTTGTTTTAATTTTGGGGGAGATATGCCATCTTCCAGATGACTGAAAATCTTCAAAAACTGTAACAAAATTGTAATTATTTTACTGTAAACGTAAAAAGTAATGTATTTTTTTACTATATCACTCATCCATGATACATGACGTACCTAAATAATCACCGTTCAGTTCTGGTCTGGTTAGAATAAATAGAGCACTTGGTGATTTTATCACCGTAGTTGTAATAGGTTGGGTCAGTATTTTGTTCACATTTCTCATATCTTCTGAGGCATGTTTGTTTAGGTAAATAAGTCTGTTTCTATCATACAGTAAACAGATGGTGATAATAATGGTTGGCACCCACATATAAATTCTACAGAGTCACACAAGTAGCTCCTCAAAAGATGGCTGCCAAAAACCTGGCTGAGCGCCATTAGTGGCCATTTCCAATATTTATATTTCACTTTCTCCAGAACATCAGCTGGACAGAAATTCATTGGTAGGACATTCAGAAAGCTGTGCAGAAACATGTCTGCAAACCTTCATAAACTGAAGCAACGTCACAAAGAAGAGTGGGACAAAATTTATCTACAATCAGAAGACAAATGATGTCCTAACTGATAGTTTAACAAGGCAGAACCAGGTCCACTGGACAGGTTTTTCTTTGCTGAATTGTTGTCTTTCATCCAAAAGACTTCTTTGGCCTATACAATTTGTCGTTTATTCAAAAACGACTTCAGTCTTTGTTAAAACGTTTCATCTTTTATTCAAAAAGACTTCAGTTTTTGTATGGTGGAAAGATTTGTATCTATGATGATGTCTTAATGAATTATTTGAACACAAAGGAACTTTATAACTTTGGCCTTGTAACCTCTGACTCTATGAACATTGTATAACGGAACATGACTAAAATTGTTTTTGTTGCTTGAAGCACTTTTGTTTGTGTAATCATCTAGAACGTCTGTTAGGACATGGATCTGCTTTATCATTCTGTGACCTATGTCTGCTATGCAAGTATAAATGACTGAGTGACTGTTAACTCAGGGCTCACTCCTTCAGACTGGGGGTTGGATTCTCTGAGCGCTCAGAAATAATTTGACAAGACTTTATTAACGTTTCATCTTTTTTTCCCAAAAAGTCTTCAGTCTTTATTGAAACATTTTGTCTTTTATCCAAAAATACTTAATCAGTCTTTGTTGTAATGCTTCAACAGTTCAAGGTTTTGGTTATTTTTTTGTTTTGTTTTGTTTTTGAATGAAAGACCAATTGTTTCAAAGAACTTCTTTGTTTAAATTCATCTTCAACAGAAGGACCCATTCAGAGGACCTGATTCAACTTTGTTAGATGTTTTTACCTGGAGTACTGAGAATGCATCAGGTCATTATTGAGAGTAATTACTGAGGTTCAACAAGCAGCTGAATCAGAGCCCAGATGCAGTTTTTCCACACGGTGCTTTGGTTTAATAAATGACATGGTAAATTTATTGTCTTTTTGTAGACATTAAATAAAAGTTTAATACCTGGATCACTTTGATTATGTCTCAATTTGTAAATACCCTTGAAGTGAATTATCATGCATGCATGAACAAACAATTTCAAATCATACGCCACACTCTGTCACTCTTAAGTATACTTCTTTATTTCATAGACTCAAGGACAAACAGTAACATTTTAACTACAGTCAAAAAAAATCCTTTCCTACTGTCTAAAGAAGCACTGGAAAAGATTAGATAAATAATTAGTGACATTCATATAACATAAATATAACTTAAATACTTAAATACATAACTTTTAAATACACTGACATTATATTTTCACAGGTGTGCTCGATGGAGCGCACAAAAACATTCAAACGGAGACAAATTCACAACGACACAACACGTAAAGTTCAAGTTAAGAATCGGTCAATATTCTTGCGTTAAAGTGCGTTCCTGTGACCCTAAAGATCACGTGACTCTTAAGCCTACCGAAAAGCTAAACAAACAGCCTTGAAATGTGTTTTGCAACGAGAGGTACCAGCGTTGGAAAAGGTTTGCCCACGCAACGCCACATGACGCGCTGCTGTTTCAAAAACATACGCGAAAAACAACAAACTGGTAGCACAATGACCTACAGCACAGATCAAACAGAAGATTAGCATCCTGACAAACTAGCAGAACAAACACAAGCTCACACATGCATTGTGTGGGTGGAATAAATTTAAGACATGGAAAGTTGTTTTCTTAGTGTTTCAAATGCACTTTAATGATCCGTGTCGTTACGTTACTGGTCTTTATTACAGCAGAGAGAAAAAAATATTCACCTAAAGCTTCTGAACAGGCTTAAAAACACAAATCTATTGATTAATAAATACCCTAATAATATTAGTCAGAGTAGAAAAGACTAATTCTAGATTAATGACACCAAAGGTACATTAAGACATGCAGATCATATCATTTGGGTCACAAAGTCACTCTGTCAAGTATTGCCAGGTATTTGGTGAGTTTAAATACAACTTCTATGTACCCCCCCCCTCCCCCCGAAAAAAAATGAATATCATTAAAGTGACATTCATGACGATGCAGGTGAATTCTACTTCTATTCAAACAGTTTATGTAGTCAATATTTGTAATTCAAGTTTACACAGAAGTAGATTGAAACAAGCCCCCCCACCCCCCCCCACCCCAAAATAAAATAAAATAAAAAGTACACAAACTCGTCTAAGTCCCACCAAACATTTATAAATCAGACATTTAAATCTTCTTTTTAAGTCATTTAAGTATTTCGGTTTTCAGTTAGTAACAGAAACGTTTGTAGAAATCTGAAAAAACTTGCMTTCCCACAGTTCTAAATCCTCACAGGTGGTCCGACAAAATGAGGAACCAGAACCTCAAAGTGTATTTGTGCCCTGACTCTCGGGTCTTCACAGAATACAACCAAATGTTGGACATCTGGGGTTTTTTTTCTGCCATTCTGTGCTCGTATTTAAAAACAGGCGGTGGTTCATTTAACACAGTCTCACATTTTAAAACCACATGGCTGACAGCACGTTTAATTAAATTAAATAAAAAATGTATTTTACCTGACTTCTTTTTGAATTTGCCAGTATGTAAAGCTTTGAATGTCACCTTAACGATATTCATATTAGGKTTTTTTTCTAATTTATTGTGTATTTATTGTGGAAATAATGCCTTGTTTGTTATCATTTTGTTAAATGAACCTATTTACATGAATAAATGTCAAGCCTGCATGAGTGAGTCTTCACCCACAATACCTTTTACTTCCATTTGTGCTACAGACACTACCACAGCACCTTTGGCATTGAAAATAGCTGGCACTGGTTTTTTTAAACCCGAAGTCCTGACTTGCAGTAACCAATCATGTGAAAAGGGTAATATTTCAGAGTCCAGCAGGAGAAAGTACGAGCAGCGGAGCGATGAAACACCGACCTGTGGCTCCAAGCTTCGGTTTATCAGCAGCAACGAACTGAAGCTGATATTTGAGGCATTCAGTCTGTTTACATTCCTTCCAAATAACTCCAGACTGTCCGTTTGACTGAAACTTAAGGACTATCCCAGGAACGCACACTTGGTATAAAAGGTAACAGGGTTCATTGGATTATTCAAAAGGCATTTATAAATACACTGCTTCTGACAAAGCTCCAGCTCATGCTGCAGCTCGTAATCCACATTAAGAGCTTTATGTGTTTGATCAATGAGCTGAAGGGTAACCAACACTGAAGAGGTCAGTTGGCAAACAGGACGAGGCCACTGGATGGTGTTGTGGACCAAGTCTTCCATTAACAGAACGAAAATGTCCATTTGAGGTATTTTTGCTCCCACTCAAAACCTCAATGTTTTTCAGAAGATACATTTTCACAGGATGGCAGGTCATCTCAGTCTTAGATGTTAAACCTTGATTTGGTCCATTTCTTTAAATTTCAATGTTCAAAATCCATCAGTCGAGCAAAAACTGTGAAGTCAGCACTCACGTAAAACAAGTGAAACWGACTTTTTGAACTGTATCAGTCTTTAAAATAAAAACTACCAGTAATACATTAGGTGATAAATAGTTAAATAGAAACAGACTTGCTTTAGGTGTTTTAAGGTTGTATCATCCATAACTATGGGGGCTTCTTGGGTTAATGGGGGCAGACTCTTCTCTACCAGTCTGACCAATGAGCTGATACAAACGGTGGCTGAGGTTCTGGACTTGGCAGGTACCAAGAACACAACCAACTCTCATCAGCTGGGCATTTTTAGGGTACTGGTGACCTCCTCGTGACGGTGCCTGGCTACGAGATCTCCTCAGCCTTCTTTTGATTTGTGAAGCCTCAGCAGGCTGAGCCCAGGCCAGGCCAGGTACAGCTGCTCTAACTCCAGATGCCGGTGGGTGTCCCAGGAAAGCAGGCAGCCTTTTTGGTAGTTGGCCAGACTCTGAAGATCTGACACTGTTAGTTTGGCCTCCTGGAGGTAAGGACAGCTCTTCTTCCTGGCCAATCATTTTGTTGAGGTGATCCAGTCTAGAAGAAAACAGCAGAAGACGACATTAGTTCACAGCCAAGTTACAACTAGAACATTTCCTTATCTTCAATTCAGTATATTTCTGGTAAACCTTAAATGTAGGCATGAAACTGAACAGTGCTTGCTACCAACACCCACCACAAAGCCACACCCCAACAAAGGTGGACTAAACAGGAACACGTGACCTGCCACACCACAACTATCTGCTCTGGTCCCAAACACAACACCAAGCAAATGTAATGTTAACTGAGGTCTAAAGTCAAACTTTCAAAACCAAGAAAAACCATTTATGAGAAACTGAATTACAAATTCAAATTCRCACTTTACATAGTTACCAAACCTTTCAGCGTTTACCCCACAAAACCATAATGGCAGAGACCTGTGCCCCCAACTATATTTGGTTGGTAAACCATGGTATCAGGTCAAATAAACAAGGGAATAGTAACAATATTCATTATGCTAATTTCATCCATTTTTATGTACACTAACTACACACTTGTGTTGCAACTAAGGCAAAAGAATTCTTTGTAGCCATTTTAAAACGTAATTAATTCTGAAAATCCTTTCAAGACCTACAGTGGGGTCCTGACCCCGACTTTTGGCATTGCTGTTATAAAAAAGKTTCATGTTAAAAGCTCTGCCATTAATTCACCAAATAGTTCAAATTTCTCTCAGGTGGTGGACCAACAGTATTTCCTCAGCTTTTCAGCTTCTGATGCACAAAATTAAAATGAAAGAGACTTGAGACCTTGACTGTTGAAACATACAAACAAAATAACTCATTTATAAAAGAGCCTTATAAATAATTTGCTTTTTATCATTTAAAAAATGAATAACAACTACAAATATTACCATTGTACATTATTTTTGATTCATGTTGACCATGTCAATACTTCACCTTTGGTACTCTGAGACACATTGGGGTTTAGACCCCAATTTCAGGAACCAACAAACCAAATCTACCACTATTGTCTCTATAGCAGCTAATGGAGCCAGGGCCAGTCCTGTTAGGACCATTAGTAATTCATTCARTTCACAATGTGAAGCAGCTCAGATCAAATATTTTTACCTGCTGTGTCCGAACACAGCGTTACCTTCTACATGACCAAACAACATGTTCATCTCTAATTGGTGCTGGACATAAAAGTTGATGGCTTTTTGTTGCCTCACACACTCTGCTTCAGTTACTAGATGAGAGTTGTGCTTTCACAGTTTGCTTTGTCAAAGCCAGCTGGTTCTGAGCAAACAGTATCCTGATCAGACAWGTCTGTGATGTGCAGGTGGGCTTAGGAGAGAACAGGAGAGGTTTTAAATCAAACCAGTGGAGTTGGATGATTACGATTCTTAACATTCACACAGGTTTTCTACAATATCTCTTCTGTCTTTTGGAAATGGGAATTGGCYTTTATCTGACTAACTTTTAACAGATTCTCGGATTGTTTATGTCGACTTTAGTCAGCTGTAAAAATGGGCTTCTTGGAATCGGACTAAATGATCTGTTAAGAAGGTCATGGTTAGTTGTGGTGACTATTKGACAAACATCAGGAACAGACCCACCATCTGGTCATTGTTTGACTAAAACACTTTTTACAACTTGGCCCTGCAGCGCATCATTAAACTGTTTGTGTTTGTMGAACAATGCAGCTTCAATTCCTAAGATATACACTTTCACACCTGCTGGAAAAGGTCTGYATTGTTGGAAAAGAGATTATATTATTATATAACCTCATCAAATAGCTTTGAAATAAAACGTTCAAATAATTGGCTATGCAACATGTACTGTAGGCCTACTTTATTCATTTTGTTATATAGAGCTGAATAGGGTTGGGCATAATCGTATCGTGTGCAATTAATCGTCAGAAAAACATTAATCGATTACTTTTTGGCACTTGACGATTAATTATTAATGATAATAATAATGATTAATTATGATTAATGCCACGAGGCAGAGTCCGCTCGGTGCTCCTCTCTGCTTCAGATATGACGAACGTAAAAAAAAGTTCTGTAATTTATTTATCTATCAACACAATTTATAGTTTGATGTACAGCCTGAAGTCTGTAATTTTGACACAATTTGGAACAGATTTTTACGAAGAGCAAATCTTTCTCACTAAATTGGTCATGTGACTAGGACATAAGGGTGTCCAGGGACTACAGGGGATTAATCGTCAAATTAATCGTTATCAGCTAAATACCACAATTAATCGTGATTAATTTTTTTGCCAATATTGCCCAACCCTAGAGCTGAATTTACTTTAATGTTTATGTTACAAAATAAGTCCATTATAYTAACAATTTAGCTTGAAAACTCACAAAAACGCATGAGAAAAAAATGTTCCTTACTATAACATTTACTGTATGTATGGTTTACGCAAAATTACAGGGATTATTGCAAACAAGTAGTTAGTCTGTCRCAGGTTTTTTTCATAGAAGTTGAGTCCACAAATGGTGAAACACGACTTTGTGGGACATCATGTAACACAATGAGTAAAAGCTCAAGAAATAAGGGAGATCAATGTCAGAGAAACACACGAGAACGCTCAGCCATCTTTGGAGCTTTATGGTTCTTCAGTCACAGTTTGTTTCAGGATTTTTACTGATTTTACCACAACTGWTAGTTGATGACAAACACACAAACCTCTAAAATGTCTAAACATTTTACAACTTTCCACACTGCTAATATTTTTATACAATGTTTAAACTCAGAACCTGGGTAAAAACAACTAAATTTACTTCTATGACTGAAAGGATAACTTCTCTCAGTTGCAGGTTTAGGTTCTGAGTGCCAGACACCATGGCAGATCTAAAAATAAAAACGCTGACTTGACTTACTTTATTATGAGAACTCAGCCTTTACTCATAGTGAGACGCTGAGATGTGAAGGTTTTGATCTAGACAAGCCAACATTTAGTAGACTGAAGTGGACCTGCTGCCCAACAGTAGCAGCATAAATGGTTTCGTAACGCCACACCACAGACTGAGGCAAAAACTATTTTCAGGTCTGGCTCAGTGTGCCATGGTGCCACATCAACAAGCCACACCTGCCTGGAGTTTACAGGAAAACTCTTCACACCGAGCACAGCTGCTGGAAACGGCATCGCCAAGAAAATGGCTTAGCGCAACCAAATTACTGGGAGCACTTTTTTTTCCCTGTAACTACAGAGTCCTGGAAAAATATTCACACCCCTTCAAAATTTTCCACAGTCATGTCAGAGTCTTTCCATTTTCAGATGGTGGATTGAAGGAGCTCTATGAGAAGTTCTAACCTTAGTATTTTTGTACAGTTATCCTCTACTTTCTATGGTCTGTCACAAAAAACACTTTGAAGATGTCTGTGGTTGTTATGTGACAAAATGTGGATAGATTTAAAAGGGATGGCTCCTTCAAGACGCTTACATCAAACTGAACAGATGCTCCATGTTTGCGGAACAAACTCATCCATGTAACTAACATCGAGAAGTTTGGCAGCCTCAGACTGAACTCACCAAGATAACCATCCCTGTACGTCTGAGAACCTTCACCAGCATCTTGGAACTGTAATTATGGTTGGATCCTACAGTCTGAATTATTTTGAGGCTGGATTTAACTTTAACAATCATTTCTGTGAATTATATCCTGACTTGACTCTTTTCTCCAAGACAGCTGTAATCTGTGGTGTTGATGACTCCATGGTCTGGTGGTTTAACTCCAGGAGGTCAAAAGTTTAAAAAAAGAGTGAAGAAGACTCAGGTGTCTTTTCATCYGTTCCACTAATATTGAAATGGACAGAGGCCCCATCATTTTATGCTTTAAAGTTCTGTTTACAATAAAACAGTAATTAAATTAATGAYCACAAACCCTTTCATCCAAACCCTCCCCAAGATCCCTTTGACCCCAATAAATGACAGCAGGGCTCTTCAACTAAATTACTCAGGGGGCCACAGTTCCTCAATGGTGGGGGGATCGCGTTGGAAATAGGAATGCTAGGGGAAACACAGAATTATGTAAAAGAACAGGTATTATTATGTTTTACCTTTTAAATTAAATGTTTATTTGCTGCATTGAGTCAAATTTAAAATTGAAACAATGAAACAAAAAAAATGTTTTTAGTAGGGATGTCCCGATCAGATGYTCAATATCGGTACCAGATCTGACAGAAGTTGCAAAAGAAGAATAGTTTCTAGAGGCAGAAGCTTAAAACAAAAACCATTCCTAAAGCTTTTGGCAATGACTGCAGTCACCCCAATTCTGCATATCATTTTGTTCATGGTAAAATCATCAATTCTCAATGAGATGTGTCGACTGCCTCTAAATAAGACAAACATAGTTTAAGGTTCATATTTTTCTGTTTCACCAGAAGATCCCGAATGGTGCGCTAACAAAATACAAAGCTCATCTTTGCTTTAACCATCAAAATAAAAAAACATAGCATTCATTATTTTCACAAATGTTGTTTTTATAATAAAAAAAACCCAAATATTAGTTTTTTCCCCTTTTGTGCCGCCAGTTCAATAGCCCTGCATTACAGCTTTACTCCATGACCCAACAACAAAATCAGGATCGACAACAGTTAGTTTTAAAATTTTGAGCAAAGCTCTCAGTTTATTTAAGACGAGCAGTGTGAAGGCTAATAACACAGAGCACTCCTCTCCTCTGACTAATTAGCAGAAGATTAAAGACATTTAAGCTTTTAGGTTTCAACCAAGGAGGTTCTATAGAACTGGAGTGTGCAGAAACCAGGTGACCGTGTGATCGGCTGGAGAAGCTAACGGCTAACGCTAAACAGTCAAAACTCTGGATTTCTCATCACTGTACATGTTGACAACAGAGCAGAAAAAACAGACGGACGATGTAGAAATCATTAAAAACTATTAATAATAATACTAACCTAATTATTATTAATGTTTTACAGTTTATATAAGCTATCTACTGTTTTAAATAATGTCAGAAAAGCTGTTTGTGTTATGGG